AGCATCAGAAAGGAGAAAATTTCTCATATGCTCCGACTCGAAATCTGCATAGCAAGCCTTGGGCCGGATGAGGATGACATCCCATTGGTTCATAACAGCCTAAAGCTGCTGGACCAAATAACAGCTGACCATAGGAATGTCAACTTCATATGGAGCCCCTCCAATGTGGGCATAGAGGGAAACGAAACCGCAGACAGAGAAACAAAGAGAGCTCTAAATCAAGCGGTGTCAGGAACCCAAATTGCCTGCTCGGACCTGAGACAAAGTATCGCCTCTGCCACCTATCGAGAGTGGCAGGATCGGTGGGAGCCTGAGACCCACAACAAACTCAGACAGGTTTTGGCGGATGTCAGGTGACGGCCCACATCGAAGGGTCTGACAAGGCGTGGTAGCACGACCATGTCCAGACTTAGGATTGGCCACACCTACATCACGCACTTCTTTGTGCTGAAGAGAGAGGAGCACCCACTTTGTGAGTACTGTGACTCTCATTCTCACCTTGGAACATATCCTCATTGATTGCCCCAGATACCAGGATATTAGGGGAAAATTTATTAGAGTGCACAACTTAAAAACACTGTTCGATAGTGTCGACCCTGGGAAGGTACTTGGCTTTGTCCGGGAGGTGGGGTTGTCTACGAAGATTTAATTTGTGAAATTGTGAACATATAATATTTTCAAAAGATGTTTACTAAATTATTAAATTTTTTACTAACTTTACTATTTTAACTGTGAATAGATCTTGCTTTTAAAAATTGAACTGTATGGAATTTGGCCCTTGTGGTATAAAGGGAAAGTGATCCCTGAAGGACTACCGGCACGACATGGCCTTGATCAGTGATTCCCAAAGTTGTCTATTTAGACTCCGGGGGGTCTATATAGACTCCGGGCGTTCTACGAAGACTTCCAAGGGGTCTACGAAAGTGAAAAAATAAATTGGGGGTCTATGAGATGTCCACGGGGGTCTACGATAATGGATTTCATTTAAGCAGGTCGTGACTTAAATTTTTACATCCCATTAATGTAATTATTTCATAAACTAATATATTATGTGTACCTTAGTTTATCCGAGCGTTGAAGTCACCCAAGACTACACGTTTGTCCGTTGTGTCCACCTTTCCAAGGACTTGCCTCAAGTCACCATAGAATGTTCGATTCTGCTAATAGCCGCAAATATAATTCCTTACAAAAGCCTCATCGAGTAGAATTGGTGAATAAGATAAAATCAATGACTTAAAACTCTGCCAAATCATTGGTTTTCCTGGCTGACTCAGGCAACCCATTGCATGCTCTAATAGTGCTAGGGAAGATGAAGCATAAAAACAAGACAAGAGGAAGAATGAGACAATTCTAACAATTTGAAACAATGAGATAGTCATAAAATTAGCTCTCATAAACGGAGATTTGGCAGATTCTTTTTTTTTTAATTAATCTTTTCCCCAAAACAGTGACATTATAATGTAGGACAGATTGGGGTTGGGAGTGGGGGGGGGGGGAGGAGTGAGGAAAAGATAGAGATAAGAGGTAATGAAATAAAATTTAACTACACTTGATGTTTTAATAAAATAATTATTTATTTATTTAATTTTACGTTGTATAATTAGTACAGACATTTGATAGTTATTTTTGTTGTTTTTTAGACGATTGGTTTGTAAAAGATCCATCACTTAAAGAAATGCCTGTCACTCAATCTGATGCCTGCAAATTTCCTGCATGTTTTGGTGGTGCTTGGCAAAATATTATGATTGAATTAGGATTTACGAAAAATAACATAGACCTTGCAAGGGAAAATGATGGTTACAATCCTAATAAGACTATCACTAGTTTAATCATTAAATGGATTCAACGCAATGGCAGGAATGCAACTATGGATCGATTTTTGACAATTCTTAAAGATACAGAAAATAATGAAATAGAATGGGAAAAACTGGAGCAGATTGTGAAAAAAAAGAAATTAAATTAACTAAGTTTTAAATTATTGCATATAAAGACCTATATAAATAAAAAATAATATTTGGACCAACCTACTCCCAATTTTTTGACAACAAATATTTTATGAAATGTAACAATTTTAAATGTTAACCACAATTGTAGATAGATTATAGAAATAAAACTGTAAAATATATGTTTCTTAATTTAAAAAATGTATATTACAATGTTATATTAGCTCACTCTATATCTTTTTTGTATATTGTTTGGATTTTTCCAATCAAATTTTTCAACCACATCTTCGTCATCATCATCAAATTTTGCATACAAGGTCACGCTCAATGACTATACATGAATTACCAAGCAAAAGAAAAAAGAATGCTTTTTAAAAAAATCAAAGCTTATCTAAGTGAAAGAAGCGCTTATTACTGTCAGTACCAGGTGGCCGAGCCTCGCTCAGATGAATAATTTGCTAAGGAAGGAAATGTACCCGAAGTCATTTTGGGAATATTTTTGTAATTACGAAAAGTCCTCCTACAGTTTAGACAAACCACAACTCACGTCGTGTCGTTTTACAAAGCATCTTTTGCGTAAAACAATTCGGTTATTAATGGCTTAGAAGAAAGTCTTTGCAGTGTATCTTCTAAAATGGTTACGTTCTGACATTTAATATTGCAATTAGTTTATTCATTATGGATTTAGTTCGAAGCATCAAGTGATGCTAAATCTCTACATTATAGGGTATAGCGTGAACCTTGTAACAAAGTAACAGCACATTTTTTTCTTAAGAGACTTAAAAACATCGCGCTAGTATTCGAAAAGAAGCGTTATTGTGGGGCATCCCTGTTACGCTGATCACCTTTCAAATCACCAAAAAAAAGTGCCCTGCCCACCGTGACTGTCGGACTATAAGAAATTCATACTATTTCGCAAGAATATCGCTGTTTGTAGTGCAGTCTTGCCACCGTACGTCCATGATGGTGTGCATATATCTTTGGTGAAGGCGTTCAAGAAGTCTTTGATGCTTTCAAAAAGTACTCATGTCTCAGATCCACAGAGGGGTTGAGAGAACCACTACTTGGTCGACACTGATTTTTGTAGACAGGCGGAGCTATTTATTTTGCCACACTCTCGCTTGGAGGCTTCCAAAAGCACGACTATCCCTGATCACATATCAGCCCCCTTTTAAAGCAATGCGTCATTTGATACTATGCTTCCCAGATATGTGAAGTTATCTACCATGTTAAGGGATCTTTACGCGCGGTGATATTTGGGTTGAGTAGGTTTTATTGGGTGACTTCTGTAACATAACTTTCCCGAACTTTCATAAGCACCGCGCTAATTCTAGGTGTAAATTATTAAATTAAACCATTATAACTTATAATAGGGTTCCCGTAGTCTCCTTGTTTTCAAGGAGCTTCTGGAAATCTCCTAAAAAAAAAATGTCCTTAAAATAGACAAAATTATCATTTTGGGGTGTCAGTCAATATGGTAAACGCCAATCCTACTCGCGGTAAAAAAAAAAACGCATTGTCAGTTTTCATTTAATTAAAAATGTAATGCAAATACAAATTTATTTTCTAATACAAAATTATAATTTTCACTTAATATCCTTATCCCTACCCTGATTGGGCCGCGCGCAATCCATTTCACATAGAACCACACAAATGTTAGGCCGGCCCTGGTTATCATGTTCAGTGTGTGCAAGTAAGGCATAGATAAACTGTGTTATGACCATTTCCTATGTTTTGGTATAGGACAGAAGACTTCGAAGCTTGAACACATTGAATAATTCACCAGCAAAATAATAACAAAGTAAAAGCTACCCACGGGTCTACGCAATCAAAGTGTAAACAATTTTTAAAGCCTTTAAAAGACAATAACTAATCATACATCAACAAATTTAATGTCATTATGTTTCTTCCATAGTTACATAATAGATCAACCTACAATAAGATGGTGCGCAAATGTTTAATTAGGCCAATTGATTCATTAAAACTTGTTCTTGTTTGCGAAGAAATGTTTTAGTGTACTGCTGTGAGCCTTGTGACGTAAGCGGTGTCAAGGTTTTTCCCCTTTGACGTCATAGAAAAAACTTCATTCATAAAACATTCTAGCCAAAATTTTCAAACCGTTATAACGGTCGACCTCGAGTTTTCCCGATGTGGCCAATGAGCTGAGAATTTTTTTCTCATTAATATTCACATACCTTGAAATTTTAAAGAAAATCGTTAGAGCCGTTTTCGAAATAAACTTTAAATATATAAATATGTATATATACATACATACATGAAAGAATTGCTCGCTTAGGTATAGGAATATCAGGTGGCCGAGCCTCGCTCGGTTAAATAATTTCCTAAAAAAGGTTATATGCCCGAAGTCATTTTGGGAATATTTTTGCAATTACGAAAATGAACGATCATATAAAGACTACTAATCTGAAGAGTTGCTTTAGTGTTCTGTTAGTTCTAAATGTAATTGTACATGGCGATTAAATATAAAGTCTCTTAAGTTCTCCAACAGTCTCGACAAACCACAGCTCACGTCCGTCTTATAGTTTTGCAATCCATTTCTTGTGTAAAACTATTGTAGGCCTACTATTATTGGCTTAGAAAAAATCTTTGCAGTGTAACTTCTTAGATGGTTACGTTCAGATATTTAATTATGAAATTAGTATATTCATTATGGCTTTAGTACGAAACATCAAGTGACGCAAATCTCTACGTTATATGGTAAAACAGGCACTTTGTGACAAAGTAAAATGGCGCATTTTTTCTTAATAGACTTAAATCATTGCATTAGTTTTCTAAAGAAATGTTTCCGTGGGGCACCTCTGTTACGCCGAACAATATGTTCGTCCCCCATACGGGATACGTGCCCTGCCCAGCCTGACTGTCGGACTATAAGAAGTTCATACCGGCTTTTGCCATCCATTTATCCTAGTGGTTCTACAGCCAGTGGATGGATATGGCCTGCTTTTACACATCCCTCCATTCAGAACTCTCCTGGGCCTTTCGTCACCACGCCCTAACCCCAAGCTTTTTACCGAGGTTTATAATTTAATCAACAGGGGCTCCAGCGTACGCAAACTCGTTGACCGCTAGCTAAATTTCATGTTCAGTGTGAGCAAGTAAGGAGTAGAGAAGCTGAGTTAAGACCATTTCCTTTGTTTTGGTACGGGACAGTAGACACCGAAGCATGAACACATGGTAATAATTCACCAGCAAAATAATAATAATTTTAAGGCTTGTCTTCGAGTCCGAAGATTAATAAGGATTGCAGTACTTCCCGTGGATACGCAGCCTCAGCTGTGACCTACATATTTTGCCACATCCAAAGCAAGCATAACCATTGTCCGCAGGTGGTCGATAAGATTTTCTTTTAGTCTCAAATGTGTATCCGCGGCCTTTCTTTAGAGAGAATTCTTTAAGACCGACAGTTACGCTGGACAGAGCAGTATCCTGTATGCCAAAGGCAGTCTTTTTTTTTGGTGAGCTAAAAAAGTGGTCGACGTAACACCAAAACGCTTAAAAGACCAGCTTAGGAGCCAGCCAACTTGCCTTAGCTGACATAGAAGAGAGCACCTGGTATAGGACAGATGTTAAATATTTATACTTTTTAACTGGCATAAAGTTTTATTCTTTTTTAATGTCATACTTTTGTCATGTACATAAAAATTAATATTTTAAATATTGCTGATTTCTTAGGTTTTAAAATTATTATGTGTTGGAAAAAAAGGTCAGAGCAGGGGATGAAACAAACAGGGAGGAAATAATCTGATCTGGCTAGACAGTTAACTGAAATGTTTAAAATTTTAATATTTTTGTTTGTATATATTAAATGTCATATTTGTCTCAGTCAACCAAACATGATACAGTTTTTCAGTGTTTTAAATCACACACAAAAATATTTATAGATTATCACAATGGACTTTTAGAGGCATCTTCATTATAATCTTTTAAACTTGTTTATTTCCCCATTATATAATGAGATTTAAAAAACAGAATTACAGACATGACATATTGTATGACCTGATAGATGGTTTAAATGTCTTTTCATCTTGATGAACCATTAGTTACAAAACCCCTCCACCAATCAGCATCCACTTTTTAAACAACTAAATCTTTGTAAAGAGACTAAAAAATAATGTTTTTTTTCTTAACTCACATCTCTCATCCCAAAAACCCATTCAGGATTGTAAGTTAACAGTTTCTAGACACAGCAATGAGATTTAGTCTATGATTGTAGTTCTAGCAAAGATAGCATTCAAAGACCATGTCAAGGATTTATATGCATTTTTATTGACAGATCGGGTTAAAAAAATAAATGTCAACACAATATTATAACAAACATTATAATATTATTTTACAGTAAAAAATGGAACATATTAATTACAATAAACAATTTACTAAATGCAACTGTAACAAAAACTATTACACTATGCAAAAGATAGTTTGTAATTTTATAAGTGAAGATTATAACGTCGAATGATCTTTCACACAATGGTAGTCGCAAAGAAGAGCATAAACTAATTTGTGTAATTTAATTTATTATAAAGCTTATGCCTTAAAAAAATTTTTGTATTTAATTTACCAAATATTCATTCTTGTTGATTGTACTACATCAGTGGTCTTCAACAGGGGGCAATTATATATGCTAATGACCATAATGACCTTTAGTCCAACCAGCTCTAATGGATACCCAACTTAGGTTGGGGAAAGTAAAGGTGGTTGGTTGATTGTGCTGGCCACATGACACACTTGTTAACCCTCAGCCACAGAAACAGATGATCTTAACATTATTTGCTCTATGGACTGGGGTACTTTACTTTACAATTTTAAAAATATATTTTACAACAAGCAAAATACAAAAACATATTTTTAAAAATAAAAAAACAAAGCTTAATATTAAGTGTAGCAATTAGTTTGGATCAGTAATGTAATTAAATTTTATAATAAGCCTCAGATGACAATCTATAAAGCTTATACCACTACTTCAGTCAAGTACCATTTTTTTCCCTTGGAAAGGGGACTAATTCAGTGTATACCACCACTTCAGTCTAGTACTATTTCTTCCTCTTGTTTGAGATACCCAACAAAGCAATTTATTACTAATAGTTAATTAAATAATTGGTTAATTTTTTAAACTGATTCTTGTAAAAAAAAATAATTGAGTAAAATCTCTGCTTGATCCGAGAAGTGTCGGAGAAATAATGTGTAAAAAACTTTGGCCAGACAGACACACAGACAGAGTGAGATAATATAAGCTTTGTAATAAAATAACTTAGAATGATTTTTGTTTTGTTTGAACAATAAATTGATTTAGCAATGCCCTATCGATATGAAAAAGAAAAAATCTAGGCAGTGTTGGCATGTGTTTTAGTTATAAGAAAATACTGGCAATTTTGAAACTTTAAATGAACACATAATAGCATAATCCAGAGAAAGGTTATATTTTTTTCAATCTAAGATAAAAAAAAGTATAATACAGTTTTATTTTTTTTTTTTTTATTTCCTTTTTTAAAAGTGATTTATTATACTAAAATATCTTATTTCAATATTTAAGTAGTTTTTTTATATATTAGTAATTTTAACATAAAATTATATTCAAATGTTTTTTTTTTAATTTTTAGATACTTTCATTCACATTTGTTTTTAAGTCTATTGTCAGAATTTTTTAATTATTATGTAATGCTAAGCAATATGTTAGTTGATATTTAGGTCAGTTAATATAACAAAATAATTATTTGTTAATTATTATAAATTCACATTAACCTCTTGAGAATTTTTGAAAGTCCATTTGCTTTTTTCAACTGGCTAAAAGAATGTAGGGACAATCTAAAAACCAGCCAGCCTAATTACTGAACCACTATTGTAATAATGGTTTTACATATGACCTTATTATTTAAAAAAAAAAAGAAAACCATGGGATTTAGATCTAGGTCAAGGTAAAGTTAACTAAACAATATAACCTTTTTTATCTACAAGAAAAAAAAATGGAGGGTGTAGCTAGTACATATAAATAAGTTTTACTTTAGTTTCCTTAGCTACAAATGTTGACAAATCTAGATCTGGACTAGGTTTAAACAATACCACAGTGCACAAAAACATGTGCCATACCAAAAAAAATAAACTTTTGTGTCAATCTGAGTATTATGAACATACTGCAAATCTATCTTTCTTCATACACAATGTACTTTCAAAAATGTCTATATGTATTTTGATACAATTAATGTTTATATGTATTTTGATACAATGACTTCTTTTTTGTATTCTGTTAGTATCTAATAATATGTATTTTGATACAATTAACTTTTTGTTGGTAATCTGTTAGTATCTAATACATCACAAAACAAAAAAATAATTATTATATTTAGAGTTTTACATTATTCTTACAAAAAACTAAACTTACATAGACAAGTATAAAAAAATACAATATTAAATCTCATTGGAGTACTATATTTAGTACTATCTATATAACTCATAGAAGTATAAATTTAAATGGTGTGCATTTATGGTTTGTGTATTTAAGTTTTAAAACATAAGTGCTTTCAGAAAAGAAAAAGTAGCATTGCACCTAAATTTACAAGGTTGTAAAATATTGTTAAAGTGGTTTTCAACAGCTTTTCTAGTTTTTTGCAGTTAAAACATGACGGAAGGACTACTTAATTAAAAAATGTACAAATGAAAGTCAACCAACATGCAGCTCTTTAAAGCTTTGCAACGTATCAATCTACATAACAAAAGATTTTAGATAGCAACACAAAAAACTATCATATAACTTTTACTGCATAAGTACAATAACATTTAAGAGAACTTATTCTCCCATAATATGAAAAAAAAATAATATTTTTTTTAGTAAAACAAATTCATGATTCAATAAATCACTCGGAGTGGCAATTGTTTCAAAGACGTTTCAGACAAGAGAGTCAAATGGGATAAATCTCCACTCTCTATAAAACAAAGGAGGTGCAGTAGCTGAGTGGTAAAGTGCTTGGCTTCCTAACTGAGGGGTTCTGGGTTTGAATGCTGGTGAAGACGGATTTTTTTTTATTTCTGTAGTTTTATGATGCCTCTGAGTCCACCCAGTTCTAATGGTACTTATGTAAGTTGAGGGAAAGTAAAGGAGGTTGGTCATTGTGCTGGCCACATGACACCCTCATTAACCAAGATTACCTTTATATCATATGCCCAGTAGATCAAAAGGTCTGAAAGAGTAACTATACTTTTTACTTTAAATGAAGGAATTGTAGTCAAAACTAAAGTTATAGAGAAACACTAATATAATGACAATAGTATTATTGACAGCAGATAATATAAAAAGCTACATTATGAAGTATAAGAAAAAAACAAATAATTAAATTTGCATCTTTAAAAAAAACAGCATACTGAGTTGTATATTTAGTCAAAACATTTGATATATTTTTAAAATTTAAAAAATTAATTTACTTTTAGTTAGGGTTTTATAAGTTAACAATAAAGGTTTTTCTATGTACCAAGGATTTGTCTCTTAAGTCACATGAGAAGTTGCAAGGGAAAAATAGCTTTTCTTGAAATATAATTACCACAGACAAATATATAAGTCAAAAAATTAAAGTATTTTTACTTCAGATTTACTGGTGTTATTTAAAAAAATAATTTTTTATTATTTTTGTTTTTAAACATAATTGAGTTTTTCATCCAAAATAGGACAAATATTTTACTCATCATATGATTAGCAAGAAAAATATAAAAATACTTTAAGTTAAAAAGACGATACCTGACTTATGCAAATTATAGAGCCATTAATTTGGTCTTAATAAGTAATGAATATTAGATTTAAGAAAAAAACTATAACATTTTTTACCCCACCTCCACCCCCCAGAAAAAAATCTTGGTTAAGCGAATGTACAAACCTACTACACTTTAATTTTAATGATACGCCTTTAGATCTAGACTTAGAAGGTGGTGCACAAGATGAATGAATTTTTACATGCAGAAATACCTGAAGATGTAATCTGTTCAAGATAAAGATTTTCTAGTCCTCTCACTAAATTAATTTTTTTTTATATCAATAAACTAGTAATTCTTTATGAAAGTTCTAGGAAAATCGTTAGAGCTGTTTTCAAGACGTGTCCACCCACCAACCCAGGAGATTCCAGTTTCTATGAATGTGCAACCTGAATAGAGATATTGTAAAAATCATTTCTGCACTCTGAAAATTAACTCTTACTCTTCATTAAATTTGTTAGCATTACACAAAAATAACAAAACCATTTACCATTGTCTGAATATGAATAATGTACATATAATGCATTCTGTTGTGCAAAAAAAAGGAGAGATTCTGCACCATTATGAGGCATTATCAATGACAATCTTATATGTTATAAATTTTCTATTGATAACATTAAGAACTATAAATGTATCTAGACAAATGGATAAAATGCAATTCAATATTGGGGTAAAAGTTGTGAAATTTACATTGGTACTTTTATTTTCCTTATAGCTAGAACTTTTTTTTATTTTTTACATGGTGTATGTGAAAATCTTTAATGGCTAATGTTGCTAATATAATGGACTCATTCTATCAACACATTTTTTTAACTCCTCCCAGTCTAGTGTTACTCTGTCTTCAATACTTACATTGATCACAGTGTTCATAAATTTTTCAAGAGTTGCACTTTTTCCATTTCTCTGCTTCCATCTAATGATCAGATTTGTTATTGTCTGTTTTTTTCTGTGACCAACATTTTCAAGCTCTAGTTCCAGCTCAGTTTTTTTAATGCCCAGACTGTACATGATGGCTTCCCATCCAGAACCAAAACAATTAGAGAATCTGCTAGCATCACTTTCTCGTAAAGCAAGTTGTTTTTTACTATTAGGTATGTCTTTGAACCAGTCATCTGAAATAAACAAACAATGCACAAATAAGAATTTTGGACACAGCAATATCAGAGCTAAGTAGGCATGCATGGTGGTCTAAAGCAACTGGAAAGTTATCATTCACTAGTAGTTTCTTGCAGTGATAAGAAGGAAAAGAAATAAGCTTAAGTCACATTATAATAACAAAGCTTGTCCGATGTTTAAGAAAGAGAGCAGTATTCAATGTGTCTATGCAGTCCAAGCGATGATCTACCTATTTTGCCACATCCAGTGCAGACATAACCTTTGTATGCAGGTGGTCAATTTAAGTTTTCTGTCACTGTCCAGATCTGTGCTCAGCAGTAGATTTCCTTATGGTCTCAAATGTGTATCCCACAGACTTTGTAAGAAATCTCCAGTTGTCTCATGTGGAAACTGCCAGCAGCCCCCTTCTATGCTAATTACAGCAAGCTGCTATGTGGTTTGGTTTTTAAAGCATTTTGTGCCTACCACCTTTCAGCTTACCAAAAAGGCATAAGTTCATCCCCCATATGGGATATGTGCCATGCCCATCTAAGCTGTCAAATAATAAGCAGTCCCTCTACACTGTCCATCAACTACTTAAAGTTCAGTTTTGCCATCCTATGAAGCCTTAGATGCTTTTTGTATAAGACCCATGTCTCAGATCAATACAAAAGTGTTGAAAAAAAACACTGCTTGGTCATGTGTTCAACCTGCATCTCCTTCTGTCCCATACTAAAACAAAAGACATGTTTGGAACAGATGACAATGTCCTACAAGCTAACACTGAACACTGAGTTCCAGCTCCCTGCTTACAATGATGCTTCAATTGGTTTAACAATTAACCTTGGAAAAAAAAAGAAATCTTATTTCAGAAGTCACTCAATAAAATCTACTCAGCACCACATGTCACTGTGAATGGCCATTCCTTCAACCTGTCACTAGACATATCTTAGAAACATACTATCCAATGATGCATCACATAAGTCAAATACCAGGTATAGAAATATCAGGATACCATTGAAGATATGAACTTAGTATTGAGGTTCATTGATTAGTTCATTTGTATCAGTCTGTCTATACAATGAATACTACTAGTGTGACTCAACAAATGTTTTGTGTGAACTCAATATTGTGATTTCAACATATAATTAGATTTTCTAATATTGGATTATTTCTTTGCTTTATTAGTTTCAAAAGAGTATAAAGCTGAATGTGAGAGCAAAGAACCTGCTAAATCTATCAATGCATGTGAAAATATACACAATCAAACATAACATAACCTAACAAGTACCAAGCCCTTAAAAGAAAAAAGAACAAAAATTAAAGCTATAAACTTTATAATTAGACTTACAAGGTGCTACTTTTGGTTCAGCAGGTATTACTTTAGTAGCATTTAGTTTATCTACAACATGAATATAGTCAATTTTGAGGGTCTCAACAAATACATCATACAGTTTTTGCTTCTTTTTCTGTAAAATAAATTTTAGCAGGGCTTCAGTCTTTTTTCTTTTGGTTGGCTTGGACTCTATCTCATCAATCTGATCCCTAGTTATCTCCCTGGCTTCAAACAAATGATCCACAATATCAGCTTCATCTAATTCATCTAGAAGAAAGATCCAGTTTTGTTGTATTCTAGATTCAGAGTCATAGCTCAATGATGACTCTGAATATGATGCTGACATTTCTTTTAGAGGTTCAATCTCCAATTAAAAAGACGATCGAGCTTTTCAACACTATACATTACTGAAAACAAAAATGCAAAAAATTAAAAATAAATATAAAAATATGATTTTTGTCTAAGTGCAGCTGTTATTCTGCATTATTATATATTAAGTGAAGTATTTTTAGTAAAATCAAAATCAAAATTGATCTACAAATAAAAACAAAACATTCGCTCTTATTTAGGGTCCCTAATGGTCTTCTAGAACCAGACGTAACATCACTTAACCCTTCTGGTTAATCACATGACCACATCCCTCATGACGCTTCTGAGCTATATTTACTCTAGATGTTTCTACAAACTTTGCAAGTCATTGCAGTTGACCGTCTTGGTTCATTACAGTTGACCGCTGGTCTAGCCCTGGCCTGAGGTGATTAACGTCGGCTGACTACACACATACCACTATCCCCATCTGTGTCACCACCAGGTTTATTACAATATATATAAGATAGATCTTGATTTAGATAATAATAAGGCTTGTCTTTGAGTCCGAAGATCAATGAGGAATGCAGTATTTCCCATGGTTAAGCAGTCCCAGCAGTGACCAACATATTTTGCGACACCAATCGCAGGCATAACCACTGTCTGCTGGTGGTGTATTTAGATTTCCTTTTCAACGTCTAAGCTTGTTCTCTGCAATGGATTTTCTTTCAGCCTCAAATATGTATGCCGCTGCCTTTTTAAGTGACCTCCAGCTGTCTCGTT